CTTCAGAACTTTCGTTCGGTTCTGCTCCCAGAACTTCTGTTCTTCCCAGAACTTCGAACTCTCTCGGAACTTTGAACTGACTGGAACTAGGAAGTGTCAACTTTTTAAAGAGTTCGCTTCCGGTCCCTTTTTGGGAAATCCTGATTGGTTGAAAGAACCAACAGGGGTGTGGTTTTAGTGACGTAAGAGGTTACTACAAGTCAGAAAAACAGCGGAGATGTTTAAGAACAGACAGAGAAATGTTATGGCGAAATGAGAGACTCACATGTGCCAGCTTCTCTGTTTACCGTCTGCTAGGTTTAAAAACATGACAGTTCGTTCCAATAACTTCTTTCTGACTTTTGACCGACATCACTCCTTCTCATTTCAGACAGAAGATCAAAAATGCATAATTACTTTGTAACAGACATCTACTTGATTTCTACTTTGAATGAGGATTAAAAATCATTAATACTGTTTCACAGTTGATTTAAAATGAGTGGTTCACTTCAACGTTTAAAATGGTTTGAACTAAACACACTTTTGATTATCAAGACATTTGTAAAATAGTAATGATAATATGAAAAAGAGAGTGTTCTTTCAATTGATTAGTGCAGGACACACTTAGAAAGTCTCTGGATGAGCTTAATTTGTATTTCTGGACTCAAATCAATGAAATGTCCTGTCCCATGAAGGTCCTCAGGGTCAGGTTTTTGACCTGAGGCTTAGTTCACTACGGCTTAGTTCACTACACGTGTTTCATTAACTTGGACCCAGGTTCAACTTCTCATCAGTGTCGCTGTATTCCAGTAGGACTTGGTCCAAGTTCTACCTCTCACCTTTTATTTATTCATTATTTTTAAAATGATTAATAGTTTCTTGGTTTAATCTCTTATTTCCCAGGTGTGAGGATGTTTATCTGTTATGTGGTAATTGTGCCGTCATAAAAATTCACTTGAGCGGATATAACTCTGAGGTCATGCACTATTGGCCACATTAAGAGAGGTTTGCAGTCTCTGTTTTATTTAAACTTTACTAATATTATATAAAAGTAGTTTTCAAGCTTTATAACAAGTTACAATATGAAAAAGTTTTCTTAAGTTCAGAAAAGCTGACTGTGACAAAACAAAAGTTAAACCTAACACGCTGCTGCTGGTCAAACCGTGAACATGTGGTGAAGCAGCCGTGGTTTAATTTGTCTCCTGTGTTTTGGTTTCAGGTGAAAGACCCTTCAGGTGCAGTCAGTGCAACATGAGCTTCATTCAGAAGTACCTTCTCCAGCGGCACGAGAAAATCCACAGTGGTCAGCGATCCCCAACAACCATTTTGTCTGTGAGTCTTTATTTTTTAAGCAGCAGGAGATGATTAACCTCAAATCGTGCTGCTTTTGTGCGACAGGAGAGAAGCCGTTCAGCTGTGATCAGTGTAACATGCGGTTCATTCAGAAGTACCACATGGAGAGACACAAGAGAACGCACAGCGGCGAGAAGCCATACAGATGTGAGACCTGCCAACAGGTTTGTGAATCCAACAAATCCTCGTCTCCAGTGCGCATTTAACGTTTTTAATATTGTGTACATTTATGGTGTGTGCCCACTTTAGTATTTTTCGCGGACAGATCGACTTCTTAAGCACAAGAGAACCTGTGGAGAAGCCATAAAGAAGGGTCTGGATCCTGGGATGGACCTGGGTTGTGTAGACATGGGACAGTGCAGCTATGGAATCACTCAGGGAAACATTGGGAGTACTGGGAGGAAGAAAGGAAAGTCCAAAAATTCTTCAGAGGGAGAGGAGCGCAAGAAAAAGAAGGGAAATGGAGGGCTAGTGAGCAAGTCGCACATGCACAGAGATTCGGCTGGAGGCTACAGCGTCCACGAGTACTCTGTGGACAATCCAACTGTGTCTTCCTCTACTGAGCCTGGGCTCTGCATGCAGCAGGGCCACCAAGCTCCAAAGCTGGCCTTCAAGAAGGCCAATCGTAAAAGCCTGGACAAAGTGGGTCAGGGAACATCCAAGTCTGGATTGTTGGAGCAGGAAAGTCTCAACCTCATGCAGAATAACGAGGCTAAAGTAGAGTCCACCAGCAGCAACTACGATGATGCCATGCAGTTTCTAAAGAAGCGCCGCTACCTTCAGGTAGCAAACAATGCAAACGCCTCTGGCCCTGCAGCTCCTGGAGGAGCCAGCAGTGAGTATGATGTCAGCGTTAACATGTCCTTGCAGCCTTCAGACCTTCAGGGTTCAGCTTCAAACGTGATGGACGCCGACGTTCCTCTCAGTTTCGACAAGTCAGGGATCCCCGACGAAGTGCTGCAGAGCCTCCTGGAACACTACGCCCAGAAACCCGACAGCCTGCACCACGACATTCACTTCGACATCAGCGATCAGCACATGGAGCTGAACCCCACCTCAGCCGACGCCCCCAGCCCATCAGGAGACAAGATGCACGAATACTCCCGCTTCCTGCTGCAGGCTTTGGAGCGCACCAGCCACAGTGCCGCTTTCTCTCTCGGCCCTGGACTCCCCCCCTCGGGACCCTTCACCAATTCCCACCTGGGGAACCTCCTGTATGCTGACAAGAACATCTACACTACGTCTCCCCTGGACTGTTTTGGTCAGTCTGTGGCGTCGTCTGTGCCAAAGTCTCACTTTACGATGCTGACGAGCTCCTCCCCACAGCACAGCTTCAGTCTGAGCACCCTGGAGGCCCCCACGCACCAGCAGCTCACCCCGTCTCAGGAGCTCACCGAGCAGATGGAGAAGCGGCACTCCTCCACTCCCCCATCGTCCTACCAGATAAGCCCCTCTGACCTGAGCCTCCAGAAGGACCAGCCGTCGGTGAAGACTGGCACAGAGACCATCTACCCTCTGGCCTCCTCGCAGGATCTGGCCTCTCTGGACTCCTCCAAGCCTTCCTACCAGATTGAAAACTTCGCCCAGGCCTTTGGCTCCCAGTTTAAGTCAGATGGCCATGGCTTGTCGTACGGCACTGACTCTGGCGGGGAGGTGGACCACAGGATAAGGACGCCTGTGTCTGATTTCTCAGGGTTTAGCAGTTTGTTGTCTGACGTTAATGAGCCAGGAAGTACCGGTCCCAAACCACCAACAAGCCAAAGCTACAGATGAAAGCCTGAGAGGGAGAAGGGTCTATCATCAAAAGTTTGTGTTCTTATTTCAATTTCTCCGTGCTACTATTTTATTAATATTATTAGTAATTTTATTTTTAATTGACATCTATGTTTTAAGTCTGTCTTTCTTCCCACTCTCCTTCCTACAATAAGCCTGCAAGGCGTTCTGCAAATGCAATTTTTTAACTGTTTTTTAAGGTCGTGTTCGTGACATAAAGGTAGTTATCTGAACTGAAAGTACCTTTTGTGTGGGTGTTGGGGGTGGGCGTTACAAAAATATTTGTAACAGGTATTACTCAGGAAAAAGTGATGAAAAGAGGAGCTCACGGTGGGCAGTGAGCACTCTTTTTCAGAAGTGTAAGTTTGCAACTTCACACAGGATTTTTCTTAATGTTTTCTTACTTGTCGAGTGAGTGGGACATAAAGAAACTGCTGCCAGCTCATTCGAACACTGAAAACCCTTTTTACTTGGCGATATAGAGATTATGGTACTTTCATGTCAATGTGAAACTCTCTTCAATAAGGGCCATATAGATGAATATCTATATATATTTATTAGAATATCTATGATGTAATGTAACGGTTTTAATCATTGCTGTTCGAAGTAGGGGTGCACCAACACCACATACTTATTTTAAACCAAATACAAATACGTGCATTTGAATACTTGCTTGAGTACTATTAAATCCCATTACACGTCTTAAAACCTCTTACTGAAAATTTGATGTGTTCCAGCAGGTGATCTGGATGTTCAAAATTAGTTTTGTGAACACATTTTTTTTTATACGTATTGGTGGAAACGCTTAATCGTGTTAAGAGGTCGTCACCACGGTCATTTTCAGCAGCAATAACATTTTCTACCTAATCTCACCTCTAAAAGCTGTATTCTGACAGAAGACGTATGGATACAGTTAGAGAGGACATGGAGGTAGTTGGAGTGAAGACAGGACATTGAGGTGGAGGCTGACTCGGGAAGAGGGAACAGCCGAAAGAAGAAGGAAACAAAGCAATAAGTTTCTGTCGCTCGCCTCTTTTAAAGACCTGCTCGCAGCATCACGAGCAGCTTCAAGCATTAGCCTTGCGTTAGCGTAGTGTTTTTTTTTTTTGTTTTGTAGACTGTCAGCAGCTGCAACTCATTAAGCAGCTTTTCAGGCTCATCGGTGACTCGTGGTGGAAGACCCAGAGAACAACTGAGACATGTTTACTCTTCATTTGGTCCTCTCTCCTCAGAATTGTGCATTTAAGGCTGCAGCCGGCCCAGCTCACTGCTTAACTCTGCGTGGCTGCTGGAGGACGTATCGGCACAGCTTTCCCGGGTCGGTTAACCTCCGACTATTTCACCTGCGAAATGATGATAATTAGGGATGCACGATATTGGATTTTTGGCCGATATCCGATATGCCAATATGTTAGAATTTATTTGGCCGATAACCAATACCGATATACATATTTTCTTCTTCCTGGACTATATAGCTTTCTCTGCTGTGGAATTAAAGTACTACATTATTCTGTATGAGTTTAGTCAGTTTGGCCTGCTACCAAATGCAGATGCCAGGAAGGAGGCTGAAAATGATGCAACACTTCAACAAACATTATATTCACCAACCCATATGTTATTTTCCACAATTTATCATCCAATGTTATTTTATTCCTAACAACTTAAAACAGAAACCTTTTATGTCGGTGAGTTGTTTTGATGAAATGGCCAATATCCGATATTTAACTTTATTGCAAATATCGGCTGATGCTGATACCATGCCGATAATATCGTGCATCCCTAATAGGCCTGTCACAATAAACAAATCAATTAATCTCATGATAACTCAAAATTATCAACCTCATTTTAATTTATCAGCTTTATCGTTTCTTCACGTCTCTCTACGGAAGACACTGGATGACAAAAGGCTCAACTCCGGTGTTCTTCACTGACCCGTCCCTTTCTCTTTTCTCTTTAAAATGTGTTTTAATCGTCCAAAATCGTGTTTTTGGATCGTTAAAGCAGCTAAAGCTAAGAGATAAGCTAACAGGCCAACCTCGGGAATAAACCTCCATCTTGTCAAAGCTCAAATTCACGGTTGAAATCTGCGTCTTTGTCTAAAAAGTTGTTTTTCTCTGCAAAAAAGAAGCTGAGAACTTATTTATTGTTTTTTATATATTTTTATTAAAAGCTTTGTGTGAAAAATGTTATGCTAAAGAGCTCAACCCACACCGAGCGGCCGCCATTTTGAGAACTGAAAAACAGGAAGGACAGACAGCCCATGTCACGTCAAGGGGCCTCCCTCCCATTTTTCTTAGAGACACGTTGCTCGCTCCCTCACTATCCATCCTTTGATTCAGTCTTATACTGCCACCCAGTGGTAAAATAAAGGTACTACACACAAAAAAAATCGCCAACATCTCTTATTAAATTTGACAATTACTAATTGTTGTCAAATTTCAAACCATATCGATTATCACAGTAATTTCTGAGACAATTAATCGCCCAGTAAAATTTGTTATCGTGACAGGCCTAATCAATCCCTAATGGTAATGGAGGAGGCCTTCGTCCTCTTGCCAGGGCCTGAGCAGCGAGACTCTGGAAGCTTGGGCTCAGGTCCACATATTGCTCTTCTGCTCAGTCAGAACTCTTTGAGTACAAGTACACACGGTATCAGGCTGATACCCGATACTGGTATTAGTGCATCCCTAATTTGAAGTCGAGAAGAGTGCAAATTAAAAGTGGTCTTGGTTGTGCTTTTAAAGAACAGGGTTGTTCTTCAGCCTATAGATGGCGCTGTTGGACAGCAGTAGAATGGCCTTTTCTTTTTCCTCTTATTTATCTAAAAGTGTCCGATCTGCAGGTTGAGCTGTCGTACCTTCTCTGAAGTTCTCCGTCTGACTCGAGCTCAAACACGGCAAATAAACTGACGTTTTGACTGTTGCCGTCGTGGGACATTAGCAGATTAGGTCTATGGGGTGGGAAACGCCTTTTTGGGTGGGATGTACATTTTTATTTTTTGGGGATGAAGGAAATTGAGTTATGTGAAGTTTTCTAACTTTTAGGGGCGGGTTCAGCTTAGTGTGTTGGGCGGGCTTGTTTAAAACAAAGTAATATTTAATCGGGATAATGTAAATGTAATTGAAACCCCCTAGTTGTAGTTGCCTTGATGCCCACCTTAGAGGGTTTGTATTGACTTTGAGGACAAAACACTTTGATGATTAAAAAGTGGCCGAGCAGAAGTTTGTACAGACGTAGATCTTTTGCTTGTTCAAGCATTTTTGTCCCTTTAGAAACTGGGTGCCTCTTCCTCTAAAGAACAGGTGCAAGACCTCTTCTAGTAAATGTATGTTAACGTTCATGCTGAGTTTTAACGCGTCCTTTTTTTTTTTCTGTAAGGACAACAATAATTGCGCTGTCTTCCACAGTAACGACTGAACTCGAGTGCTGGAAATGATCTCGCTCTGCTGCTCTGAATGAGTCTTTGAATCCCTTTGTGCCCCGAAGGTCTGCTGTTGTTTGAGCAATCATTAAACATGGCAGAGAAAATACAATGCTGTCATATCTAGAACAATGCGTCGCCATGTTTAAGAGCAAAACGATAATTAGCCTCTCATATACCTCATCTCAGAAAACCAGGGACAATGGTGTAAAGGTTTGTATGTAGCAGAAATGTTAAGATGTCACGTTTCTGTACAATTCTATTTAAACTTTGTTTTTGTACATTTTTGTGACCCGTCGTGAGGGTCTGTTCGTCTCATGCCAGTCAGTGTTCGGTCCCTTCAGTTCAAACTTGACTCCACTTTGCAATCACTGTATTTTTTTTATTGTTTACAAAGAAAATGCACCAAACACTACATTGAACTTAAACCTGTTTCATCACCGCAGCTCTGGTGTCACCGCCAAATCTTCATGTGTTTATGTTCTTTCAGCCTCATTTGACACATTTTTAATCTGTTCAACAAATGGAAGATTTGACTGAATGAGAACAAATAAAAACTGCTGTTACCATGAAGAGCTTTGCCTCCATCGGTTGTTTGATGTGTCGGTGGAGTTCAGTAAAACTTGTAGCGTTTTTCTTTCTTTCGCCACTAGGTGGCGATGATGCTCCATTAAATAAACTTTCTTGTTTATTTCTTGGTTCCGTCTGGACCAAAAACTATTTGATGTTGTCAGAGTGAACAGGGAGATTTGTAAATGCCCTCCATCTGCGCATGTTGGAATAACTTGGAAAAATAGGTGAAGGCCTGACTTCCATTTTAGGTCGTAAGAAAGGTAACTATAAAAAGTTGCCATGTCAGAATCCAAGATGGCCACCACCATCATTTGAGGAAACTTGATTTCTAGTTTTTATACTGCATAAAAGTGTAGTTTCCCTAAATGATTGTGGGGTAGCCGACGATTAATGTAGGGTGGCCAATAGCACCATTTGCCACCCCCTAGCTCCGTCATTGCGCCTGGTCGTAACCCCACTTCAATATCTTGCACCAAAAACATTAAGGTTTGCTTTCATTCTCTGTTCATTTCCAGTCCAGATAAACACTCATTTCAAACTACAGACCTTTAATATTCAGACCCATCAGTTGGGTGGGGCGTACTGCTCGTTATCTTGAAAGTGAGCTTGAGTGTCACTTCAATCCAGAGGTTTTTGTGGTTTTATGTGCATTCTAAATAATACACGTATATTTCTGGCTGCTCTTGTTATTAAAGGAGGGAATGCAGCAAGTAAGTATTGAACACGTCACCAATTTAGTAAGTATATTTCTAAAGGTGCTGCTGATGTGAACTTCTCACCAGGTGTTGGTAACAAGCCATCCAGTCCACACAGGCAAAGAAATTGAATCATAGACGTCCATAAATTAAGTTATATGTAAGAACAATAGGAAAAATATTAAACAGAAGGAAAGATGCAAAACGACATGAAGTCGTGACACCAGCTGAAAAAAAAGTACTGTATACGGTACATGTTTGTACTTCTGTAGGCTATATATATATATATATATGTATGTATGTATGTAACCTTGTGAGCTTGATC